GACTAGAACAAAGCCATACACTAGTGATTTAGGGTATATTTTGATCTGTTAGAAGAAACTGTACCTCAAAATTTTAAAGAGAGAACAACTTATATATATATGCCAAAAATAAGGGTAACTACTATGAAGGGATAAAATATGACTCTAAAAATGAAAAATAAAAAAAATTTTTTTTTAAAAAAAGGGATTGATAAGATGTTGGTTGAAAAAGGGAAAAAGAAAAATAAAAAAAAACAGTCAACAAAAATTAACTTTGATGAAATAATGAATCATGGTAAAAAAAAAAAAAAAAAAAAGCCATGAATCTATGTGCAGTATTCCCCTAGCGCTGGAGTTCTCCCGTTCTCCTTGATCGATCAACTTGGTCTTGGCTTGCTGGCTGTTTGTGCTGATCTTCTGGGGGAGGGGCCTGTTGCTGTGGTTTCCAAATGTCTTTGCCGGAGGCGGAATTGCCCCGCCCTTGTCGGTCTGGGCTAAGGAAGCTGCTCCGGTTTGCTCTCAGGAGCTTTTGTTCCCTGCAAGCTCTCGGTACAGCTTTGGAGGACCAGGGCGGAAATGGCGGCCTCCCAATCTCCGCCCGGAGGAGCTGAGAACTCGGGGCCCCGCTCCTCAGTGTGCCCCCAGAGAAAAGCAGTCACTTCCGTGTCCCCGGTCTCCAGCCGCACTCCGTGCTCACCCGGCCTGTGATCGAGCGTTGCCATCTCTGGCACCTGACCCCGTGTGGAGTCTCCAAACCCAGGAGATTCCTGCAGTGCGTTCCCGCACCGCTCCTCCCCGGGAAGGAAGGGGAGTCTCCCTGGATCTGCTGCTTGTTGGGTCCCTGCTGGGGGAGCCGTGCCCCGACTGGGCCACAGATCACAGTTTATGGCCACCCCGAGCTGAGAGCCCGCGACTCTGCTCCGTCTCTACAGCCGGCTTCCCCGCTCTGATACCTGGGAGCTCTGGCGCACTCAGGCACCCCCGGTCTCTCCGTGACCCCAAGGGTCCTGAGACCACACTGTCCCGGGAGGATTCCACCCCCCGCTTAGCCACTGCAGCGACGTCCCTCCACAGAGCCAACTTCTAAAAGGTCCGATTTTGTGCTCCGCGGCTCTAGCACTTGCCAGAAGCGGCCGACGGAGGCCCCTCCCCCGCCGTCTCTCCTCCCGAATATCGCCTCGGATTCACTTCTCCGCACGTCCTACCTTCCAGTAAGTGGTCGCTTCTCTGTTCAGAGAGTTGTTGCTACTCTCCTGTTCGATCTCCTGTTGAGTTCGTAGGTGTTCAGAATGGTTTGATCCCTATTCAGCTGAATTCCTGAGACCAGACGAAATCTAGGTCTCCTACTCCTCCGCCATCTTGCTCTCTATTGCTCTTTTTAATTTGTGAATATACATCGGCGCACGTGTGCACGTGCACACACGTAAACACACTCACACACTTTATTGGCTGTTTCTTCTCTCCCTGATGCTGCTCTGTCCCATGTAGCTCGTGGGTCTGTTTTTCCCAAGGAGACAGTGGGCAAGATTCTGCAAAACTGATCCTGAGCCAGAGCCCCACAGAACCAGGACTACTGCCGGAATCATAGCAATCACGGGACACATGAACACTTCCTCTGTCTTTCTGACATGTTGTCACTAGATGTCAATAGGTGAAGGGGACTAAGTGGCACAGACTTCCAGTTATACAACAGATAAGTCAAGGGATGTGAAGTACAGCATAGGAAATAGAGTCAATAATATTTTAATAGCTCTGTATGGTGACAAGTGGACACTAGACTAATCATGGGTGATTATTTCAAAATATATATAAACGTCAAATGACTATGTTTTACAGCTGAAACTAATACAATATTGCATGTCAGCTATACTTCAGTAAAAAATGTTTATGCATAATAATTTTAAGCACAAAAATTCCAGAGCCACCCAGCTGTCAGTACAAACAGCCCTTCTAAACTTCATGTCAGTACCAGCTTACATTTCCACACCTTTCTTTCAGATTTGGTTTGGGGCTGGCAACTTACAGAAAGTAAAACTCAACTGGCCTGCTAGAAACCTCCCTTCTGATACACAAGTAGAAGGAAAGAGCTGAAGCGGAGTGATCCCCCTTCCAAAAATCTCTTCTCCCCCACACAGGTCAGCCCTTCCCAGGGAAAGGCTGGATGCCTACTGCCCCTGAGGCTTCGCCAGGCTCTGTGTGTGGGCGTGCCCGGGGCTCCCTGACTTGGGTCCTAAGGTTGGAAGACCCAGACTGCTCTGGCCTGAAGCTCACAGCACAGCACCCTGTCTCAGTAACTGCACAGTCAGAAATATGGCAGCATTCTCCAAATGCTGTGGAGTTATGGCTCCATATGCTCCAGATGGGAAAGGGCTCTAGCTGGAGGCCAGTGTAGACTGCCCACTGCCCAGATGGAGCGACTTGGGACACATCATGAAAGCAACACCCCTAATTGCTGAATGCTCTTCAGTGAGACACACTTGCCATGTGTATTGAATTTCATCTCACCACAACCCGTGAGGAAAGATCTAGTACTCTCCTGATTTTATAGGTATGGAATTAGAGCTTAGGAGGGTGGACCAAGTAGCCCGTGATCACATGGCCAACAGTGGTCAAGTCCAGCACTGAACCCAGACACTGTGATTCCAGATAGCCTTCGCCACCGAGCACCATTGGTCTGTGTGCACAAAAGCAAATGAAGGCAAAATGTCTTACTATTTCTCATTGTGCCCAAGCCGGGGAGGAGTGAAGGGGATCTCAGACGGAAAAAAAATGTCCCGTTGGCCCCATATCTAGAATAAAAATTATTCCATGATGGAGCTTCAACCTCTCGCATTCGGAGCACATAGCCCTAAAGTAGGGGAGACGGTATATGTCTGGAGAATTCCCCGCCATCAGGTGATTCTGTCAAGTGACAGGTCTTGGACATGTTTTCAAATGCCCCTGGATTTCTCCCTCCACGTAAAACAATGTTTGGCTGAAAGCCACTCATCCCTTTAAGTGAACTTCTGCTCCCACAGTGGGCCATCTTGGTCCTGGTTCCCCTCCTTCTGCCCCCCTGGGTACTCCACTCTCCATTTCCATGCTCCCATTTTGCTTACAGAGTTTTACTGCTACTTCTATCATTAGAGTATACTTCGGGAGTGGGATTGGGATTCTCTCTCTGTGGGCAGTCTTGAGATGTGTTGCGTTGGGGAAGAACACACAAATCTAAGCCATCTCCTGTGCTTATAAGATGTTAAGAAGGCCAGTACATTGTTCTGGGAACAATGGAACGGGCAGATGTGGTCTACTGCAAATTGCCGAAGTCCCTCCTTGGATGAGAGATAGAAAGATGTCTTTAACTCATCCAGAGAGAGATCTTGTACTACATTCCTTCTCAAGCACACACTTTTCCTAAAAAATTCTTTATATTGGAATGCATAAAATAGATACATTTCCTGTTTGATATTCCTTTTCTGGTTAATCCTTCTTGTCTATATAACCTTCAACATAAGAAGTCTCAGGACACCACTCTGTGTGCTGAAGCAATAATGTAGAAGTTGCCTGAAGAGAAAGAAGAAAGAGCCCCAGACATCTGGGAGCCAGCCCAACACTCTAGGCTAGACCCTGGTGTTGCTAGACAGCAACCCACAGCAAGAACCTGTGTCCTCCCATAGCACCTTCACATTGCCTCAGCACCAGACAAGGCCACCCTGACACCATGACAGATTATGACAAAAACAAGGCCACTCCATAACCATGTGTGAACACAGACAAAAATATGAATGCCATCCAGCGGGGTCCAAAAAAGGCCAAACACAAGGGGAAGCTGTCTCCAGTTTTCTTCTGACAGCATTAGGGATGTACCGCAGTGTTGAGAGGGCACAGAGGGAGAGAAGGGTTTTGTAGTGTTGAGGGTAGGGCTAAAACGATTTTGACATTAGCAGAATTAATATCTCTCGAGTTGCCTTCTAGAGAACACATAACCTACCTGGTGGTGCCATGAAGTGATGAGCATTTCCTCAGGGTTTTTATGTCAACGACCACAGAAGCCAGAGAGGCAACACACATTGGGAAGGCAAGAGCACTGTGGGGTAGAATGTGACTATTCAAAGTGCTGGCTTCATTTCCATTAGACTGAACGCTCCTAAAATTACAAATAATTGTTGTCTATTTTTTCAGTGACAAATCAAATGGGAATCCCCTCGAAGAGAGCCTGGTTCAACTGAGATGTCACTTTACGTGGAAGTTGCTAGTTGAAGACACCGAACTGTCTGATTTGGAAAACAGGATCTTGGATGAGACTGATTTCCTAGACACCAAATACAATGGTGGGGACCCACAACCTGCTGGCCTATGTGAAGCACCTGGCGGGCCAGAACCAGGAAGCCCTGGGGAGCCTGCAGGAGGCTGAAGGCTTAATCCAGCAGGAACGTGGTGCCCAATCAGATGTGAGACTTCTGGTCACATGGGGCAACTACGCCTGGCTGTATTACCACATGGGAAGACCCGAAGAAGCCCAGGCTTACCTGGACAAGGTAGAGAACACCTGCAAGGAGTTCGGGGCTCCCTCCCGCTACAGGATGGAGTGTCCCCAGATGGACTGTGAGGAGGGATGGGCCTTGCTGAAATGTGGAGGAAAGAATTATGAACGGGCCAAGGCCTGCTTTGAGAAGGCTCTGGCAGTGGACCCAGAAAACCCTGAATTTAGCACTGGGTATGCGATCACCACCTACCGCCTGGACGTCTTTAACAAAGCAACACAGGTTAGTGAGGCATTCTGTCTGCAGACCCTGAAAGAGGCCATCAGGCTAAATCCAGAAGATGCATATATTAAGGCTCTCCTTGCCCTGAAGCTTCAGGACATAGGCCAAGAAGCTGAAGGAGAAAAGCACATTGAAGAAGCACTGACCAACACGTCCTCGCAGACCTACGTCTTCCGATACGCGGCCAAGTTTTACCGAAGAAAAGGCTCTCTGGACAAAGCTCTTCAGCTCTTAAAAATGGCCCTGCAGGCCACCCCCTCCTCTGCCTTCCTGCACCACCAGATAGGGCTTTGCTACAGGGCACAAATGATCGAAATAAAGAGAGCTGCCAACTGGCAGCCCAGAGGACACATTAGAGAAAATGTCCACAGATTGGTTCACTTGGCTATAGATGAATTTCAAAAGGCTTTGATGATAAGGCCCACATTTGAGTTGGTTTATGTTGTACTGGCTGACATGTATGCAGAATTAGGCCAACACACAAAGGCTGAGGACACTTTTCAGAAAGTGCTGTGCATGAAGAACATCAATGATCATCTACAGCAAAAGATTCATTACTGCTACGGCCATTTCCAAGAAGTTTACAAGATATCTGTAGATAAAGCAATCACCCATTATTTAGAAGGTCTCAAAATCAAGAGAGCCTCCCACAACAGGGAAAAGATTCTCACTGCCTTAGAGAAGCTGGCTAAAAGATGGGTTCAACAAAATGTACATATGGTGGAAAGTTTGAGCATCCTTGGGTTCATCCACAAATTGAAAGGGGAAGTGAGTGAAGCCTTGGAGTGTTATGAGAAAGCTCTCAGGCTGGCTGCTGACTTCAACACCGTGATTTGAACTAGAGGTCACCATTACCTGTTTAATGTGTTCATAGCTAAATATAACAAACATCTTTGCTGATCACCGCTTTCAGAAACATAGAACATGCTGAAATACAAAACAGTTGATAGAACACACACTCAGCTGCCTGCTGACCCCCCTCTTTCTTTCCTCGCTGATCCCCTCCCCCCTTCTTTCCCCTTCTGTCCATGCACCCATGAAAGGAGCATCCATTCTTCTATAACACATCCCTGTGCTCATTGGCCAAGGCCAATGAATGCTGTTTGGGGCACCTGTTACCTGCTAGACCAACAAGAGTCCTTTTCTTTCTGGCTTTGCATCTGGAATGAACAGCTTCCATCCTCAGTCCATCTGGTCTCCTGGACAGAGGAGTCTTAAACAGGGAAGATTTCAGCCCCTCCTGGGCCCACACACCAGTCACATGCCAGTGTAGCTGTGTGCACGCACCCGTGTATCTGCAGGCACATAACCACAGGAGGCCCACACATTGGTCCAAAGACACTCCTGCTGCTTGGTTCACACACTCAAGGCATGAATTCCTGGAGACGGTGACCCTGAACCAGGGGCACAGGCTGCTCATATACACATGCCTCACACATCTCTCTCCACACACGCTGATTCTTGAGCTCACACAGGCGCATTCCTGCATATTTGTGCACATATGCATTCTGTATTTGGAAAATATCTGACACCAACTACCCACTCAGAAGTTAAAAAGCATAGGAAACAGAAAACAAAAACAGAAAGGATATCTTTTTCATGTGGCCAGGGGCACTGACCTATCAGATTTGAAGGCAAAGCAAATGAGCAAAGATGAGAAAGAAAAAAAGGAGAAGGGACTTCAGGGGGTCACTACCATGTTCCAGCCCCAGGGCTCATTTCCCAGGGCCCTCCTGCAGCCAAGACCTGCTGCTCAGTGAGTCAAATCTCTAACCTCATAAGAAACTCAAACTCTTCCGTATACGTTTGTCCAGCCACTGGCAATCACAAAGGATCTATGTGTTCCAGACATGTGGCTGGACATGTACTCACATCTAAGAAAAATTAAAGTGTATTGGGGAAAGACAAATAAGGGAAAAGCCTATTTAATAGTTGCCAGCTAAACATGACAAATACAATAATGCAGTTTTTAAGTGCTTGCTGTGTGGTGCATGATACAACCTTCTCCAGTTTCTAACTAAAATATTTTCTCCCAAAACATTCAGTAAAATTAACCACTTGATAAGCTAACAAAGTCTTTGAGTGAATTTTATGGGTGAAATTTTTTAAAAGATGTATGTTCTATGTTTGGGTGGAAGTCGAAAAACACAGAAGCAACGTCTAGGGCAATAGAAGGTCAGAGGGGTTGAAACCTTGGGAATACAAACACCACCAAGAAACTTTTAAAATATTGGGTAGGGATTTAGTTCTACAGGCCATGGAATTGTAAGGTTGGTTTTTCCCTGAGAGCTAGAACTGACTGGTGTGGAGGCTGGTCATTCAGAAGACATCTGGGGAACAAAAAACAACGTAATTAGCACCCTTTTCAACTTTGTTGCTACTAAAGAACTGATTTATTATATTTAACCTGCAAAAAACTACTAGAGCAGGAATACTGTCTTTTTTCTTGTAAACAAGATGGGACTAAAGTCATCACAATATGCACGCTGACATTTTTTTAAAATATTTTATTTATTAGAGAGAGAGCACAAGCAGGGGGAGTGGCAGGCAGAGGGAGAAGCAGGCTCCCCACTGAGCAGGGAGCCCGATGCGGGGCTCAATCCCAGGACCCTGGGACCATGACCTGAGCCAAAGGCAGACGCTTAACTATCTGAGCCACCCAGGTGTCCCATGCTGACGTGTTTTATCAGCTAATGGAACCGATTGCTTTCTTACACCACAACAAAAACGAAGATAAATTAATGGATCAAGGCCTGATGGATGAGTAGATATGGAATCAAGCAAATACAGTAAAATGTCACTGTAGAATCTAGGTGGTGAGTATACTAGTGTTCGTTGTAAAATTCTGTCAACTTTTCTCTGTCTGATGATGCTCAAAACAAAACGGTTAGGATAGAAAGGTCAAAAAAAGCCATATCTAAAAGGGAAACCAAAATTAGGCAAGGGAAACAAAATATATATGGGCTAGAGGATAAAAGCGCATGGAGAGAAAATATTCCAAGTGATTCGTTTGACGTGCCGGGTGTTTCTTTTCCCCACACGTGAAACTTTGCAAACACATAACATATAACACAGTCTTTGGCACCGCGGGACAGAGTCACACCCCTGGCTCTCAGCCCTCGACCTTGTGGCACGAGTCAGGAGAAGAGGATGGCTTCTCTCTAATGCTCTCATTGAGGACCAAGGGGACCCACGAACAAACTCCACCCCTTTCCCCTCTCAAGCCAAGGAGAAGCCACCTTGGTCACCTGTGTGGTGCCAACCATGATGGTAAGCGGAAAAGGAAAGGCCTCTCCCAACTATTACAGGGTAAGGGGTAAAGGTAAAGAAGGGGTACAGTTTGGATTAGGCCACAAGAGGGAGCAGGTGACACCATCCAGAAGCATGTGCAGCTTTGGGGGGCAGTTGGGTACGCAGTGATTGGGCCTCTGAGTTACCTTGTCCCTGGCTGAGCAGGAAGAGTAGGGTAAATGGAAGGGGTGCAATTTGGCATTGATGATGTCCCCCAGTTTGGGCTTGAGGGAAGCAACACCCACGAGGAAGCCACCCACAGCAGACTGGCTTGCCAGCTCCTTGCAGGTTGCTCCAGTCCCAGAACCTTCAACATAAACAGGATGCTCTGAGCCCCTGCATCAGCCACGTGAGACTTAAGCCATCCCTGGAGCGTTTCGTGTACTTCCTGTTGCAGTCTGGCCAGTACCAATGGCCCACATGAGCTCATAGGCCAGGACAACCTTGTTCCAGTCCTCTGCATTATCTATGGTGGCCTTGGTTTGCTCAAAAGTGCCTACTCAGTGATGCCAGCTTCCCTCTCACTCAGCTTCTCCCCAGTGCAGGCGATTACTTACAGTCCCTTTGCAAGGGTGTGGGCCCCTTTCTGCCCTATCTGCTCATCTGACTCCCCAGAGACAGGCCTTTTTTCTGAGTGCCCTCAGGAGGGCCAGGGCTGATCACCCAGGGAAGGCCCCGTTCATCACTGGGCAGCAGTTCTCCCAGCCAGATCTTGGGATTCTGCCGGCCAAGTCCATGTGGCGGTGGGGGGCACACAAACTACCTAGGTGTCTGCCGCAGCTTGGCAGTGTTCAGAGAGGTGATGCGTCCCCCCAGACTCTTCTTACAGTGCTCCCCACCAAGAAGAACTTCCTGAGGGCACCATGGCACTGGAACCAACACACAGAAGCCAGTATCACCACCCCCCCGTGATTTTTCAGTACACTGTAATTTATCTCTATATTTTTAGAAGGATATATCTTATGGACAAAAAGAAAAGCAAAAAAAAAAAATCTTAAACTCTACTCAGCAATCGTTTTGAAGGTTGTTTTGTTGATTTTCTTACTCTGAGGCTGTTGTAGCACATTGTGGAATAGATCGTATGAATATCAGCCTCACTTAGACATTCAGTTCAGGAGAAAAGATACACAATTAGGTTAAGTAAAAATCTTATAAACTTGAATTTGTAAGGTGAACTCATGATCTGTTTTATCTTTAAAATGTACACACAGTGCCAATGTCACTTTCCTGGTTTTGAGCCAGTACTACAGTTATATAGGAATTAGCCATTGAGGGGGTGGGGGTTTAGGGGGGAATGGAGTGAAAGGCATACAAGGCTCTTCCTACAACTTCCTGTGAACCCGTAAATATTTCAAAATAAGCCTGAAATGTCAAAAAGACAATGATAAAATTCAGTTAGTACTTGAATATGTTGCAATAGGCCAAACTGGGGGTCAAGGTGGACTGAGAGAATGCGTGAAGAGCCGAAGATGTGAAATCCATCAGACCATTCACAACAAAGGATTTCTGAGTCTTTGAGTTCTTCACGGATGTAATTGCAAGTACTTGGGAATAATCCCAAAAGCCAAGAACATGCTTTTTATATAGTGGTCCGCACACTCAAAATTCCATTCTTCTTCCATGCCATCCTGTGGATCGGGAGGAGACTGTGGGGTTAATTGTCCATGGTGCAGGAGGGGAAATAAGGCACAGAGTAATGAAGACACTGAATCTGGGCCACACAGAACAAGAAGTAGGTCCAGGGATGGAGTCTCAGATCACTCAGGGAATCTCAGTTATACAGTAGATTACAGGCATCATCTAGGCCCTGCTTCCTGCCCAGGTGTACATCAAAATCACCTGAGGATTTCTGTTTAACACAGAGACAGGAGTGGGGGCCCATTCCCAGACATGTACTCAGTTGGCCTGGGATGGGGCCTAGTTAACATTATTCTTTTTTTTTAAGACTTTTATTTTTATGAGAGTGAAAGAGAGAGAGAGCATGAGCAGGGGGAGGGGCAGAGGGAGAAGCAGGCTCCCCACTGAGCAGGGAGCCCAATGCGGAACTTGATCCCAGGACCCTGGGATCGCGACCTGAGCTGAAGGCAGACGCTTAACCCACTGAGCCACCCAGGACCCTTCATTAGCATTATTCTTAAAACCTCCCTAGATGCTTCTAGTGTGCAGTGAGGGTTGACATCCAATCATCTTTTACCAGCTGAGGAGTCTGAGGCTCATGGAGGTGAAGCAACTCATCCCAGCTGGTCAGTCACTCAGGGAGCTGGTCCGACACCACTCATCGCCTAGTGGTGAAATTTCGTTTTCTGAAAGTTTAGTTTTCTCCAGCTCTCGTTTTCTTTCTCAAGTGTAAACACGTGGGTGCGCGCACGCGCTCGCACACACACACACACACACACACACACACACGGGCGTGTATGTGTGTGTCCTTTGTTGGCTATTTGCTCTCTGATCTCTCTAATGTCACCCATGGACAAGATTCTGAGAATCTGTTCTCTCTGAGCCAAAGCCCCTTAGAACTGGGACCGCTGCCAAATTCACAACAATGA